GGAGGCCCGAATTCATACCATGTGCAAAACTCCGATACCATTTTTATTGTGAACCGTGCCTTTAAAGGTCGAGAGGTGAATTTTTGTGAGAACAACTGTCGTGCCCTGCAAAAGACATACACATAACATGAGTCAGTGTTTGTTGCCTCCGCTCTGATCATCGGGAACGGCTGTTCCGCGCGTCTGTCGAAACTACGTCACCCCTCCCAATTCGCGCGCTGCGCAGCCCACTGCGATCTTGAGATGACATTACAGACCACTAAGTGTCAGTGGAGCGAATAACTTGCACTAGCCCGAGTTATCTCCACTTTAGATGGCTGCCGCGGACCGGGGCGCAATTTAGATGCCCCAGTGACAATTAAGACGTTTGTCAATAATCGCCGCGTGCGACGGTCGCGGCATTATCCAGTTTCGACGGACGCGCGGAAAGAAGCGCTTCCCTGGGCTGTTGCTTGGATTGCACGAGTTTCTCCTCAATAATGAGCTTCGAAATCCTCCCGCAAAAATTAAGGGAAATCGCTGCAACATTCTCACGTTCACGTTGTTTCGGTACACCACAAGGGCCCATTGTTCGAGCAGTGTCAAGGAAGTCCAGGGCTGGATATCTCGCTTCTGGAAACATGAGAGCCACGTGAGCGTCGCTCCATTTTAGTAACGTCAACGACAGCAAGGGTATCACGTCTCTCATTGACGACATCTGCAATAAATCGTCGATTAATCTGAATTCGAGCGTCTCAGAATCAAATGCGATGAGCCGTTTATCAATGAACCGGTCGGGTCGTCCCGCTTATGTCGGGCCTAATTCGTTCCTCTTACGAAGTGGTTAGAAAATGTATTTAGGAAGAGGACTTCGCTTTCTATACAGCACTGAGAGCTTGAGTGCAGAGAGAGATAGGTGCCGACTTTGAAGCTAGGATGGGGTGTGAGTTGAATATTCAATTGGCTCATTCACTCCGGTGCTCCTTCTCTCCTAAAGCTTAAGTCAAAGAACTCTATGTATTTCCGGCTAAGAAACGTTTCTGAGCAGGCTATCCTCCTTATTTGCGCTCTAGCGCTCAACGTTGGGGAAAGAGCGGACGTGTCTCATCTGAATTATCAACCTACCCACCACCAAGTTAATGCTTCAGATATAAGAAGGATTTGTGGGATGAAGCTGGGTTTTCCATCCATCTTTATCGTAATCATAAAATCTTACGGACGGACAGACGGGCAAACATATAAACCGACATACCGACCAACCGACACATCAAGTTACTGCTTTATAAATAAGAGAGATTGTGAGTGGTCAAAATCTATAGAGAAGAAATAGAGTTGGGCCTATCTTCGAAGACACAGTGAAACTAATTCATTCGTTCAGAACTTTGCCAGATGAGGAAATGAATAAGTTTTTCGCGTTCACGTCTTTTTATTTGAGCTTGAGGAATTCAACACTGAGAAGATTTCTTTTCCTTTCACAGCCTGGCCCGCAGCTGGCAACTCCAACCTGACTTTCTTTTTTCCCATGTGGTTACAAAAGTGAAGAGCAGGTGGCGTAGAGCGAATTAATGATCCGGGGTCGAGTCCTGATTGATACACACCATTCCGTGACTAAACAGTTTTTCCATCTCTCCGCGGTTGGCCGTTTGGAATGAGACTTCGAGAAAATGGAAAAACTGACTAGAAATTGACTGCTACATCAAGTCCGTTGTTCCTTCATATCCACAAGTATCATACTCGGCCGTGGAAGCGTTCAACATCACTACGATTCCAGGTCGAAGTCGAATGCGTGGGCTCATCCAGAAACAGGATTGGTCAAGCTGATGAAACCTTATCTTTTGTTGTTTTGGTCCCACAAGTATCTCTGAAAAGAGCTGAAAACTCAAACTATTCTCACATTTGAAAGTAACGCAAGCGTGACTTACACACCCCCTTATTTAAGAGGCGCAGCCGCAGATGACTTTCACTAGTTTTTTCGAGTAGGAGGGAGCATATACATTCGGCATTCGTCTATATTTGACCTAGCGTTGTTTCCTCTGTTTCCATAAAAAAAAATATTGGTCGACTGCAGTGCTAATTGGGTGCTCCTTTCAATATTCAACTTGTGAATCTAGGCAACGACGGGGGTTCGGGAGAATATCTTAAACTAAATCGATATAGAAGGATCGGGAAATACATGGCAGTCACCATTCCGGGCCATATCATTTTCTACTCCATAAGAGAGCTCAGCTTGAGCTATACATGTACAAAAAGGTCTTTTAACTTTTGGAACTAGATGCACGAAAAGACATGAGGGTAACGAAGTCCAGTTAATTGTGGTAGCCGGGAAGAAAACAAGGTTTTAGATTTGTAAGATGTGGCTGCAACAAAAAAAGCTAAGAGAAACAGATTTCTCCCGAATCGGAATCTTCGGGTAAAAGATGTCTCGCTTCGCCTCGCTACAGGACGAATCTCCGTACCCCCCTCCCCCACGCCCGACGATGATCATCAATGGTTCGAGTCAGTGCACAGAGAAATGGGTAAAATCCACTCTTAACACTTGTAACTAATAAGTTATTTCTATATATCCACATGACTATATTAGTAAGTATAGATACCTCTTTGTACCCAACTCTGAAGGAAATGCCCAATATTTCCGTCATCTTTGTGTTAAACGTCTTGATACTAGAGCACGTGTTGACAGTTCTTAATGTTTCTGGGTATATAACAGCTGCTTTATTTGTAGTAGAAATATTAGTATCACCTTGAGGAAATCTTATGACATGGAACCTAAAATCATCAGCTCTACTATACGGTTTGGTATGATTTTATCATTGATTATAATAATGCTCAAGTCCAGATATTTGCTAATTCTCTCATCCGAATATGTTTTTTTTGCTCAAGCGTTTATATCTCTGTATATTGACGGAGACTGTTATTCTATGTGACTTAGCAGTATCCTACTTATATAATCGACTAAATGTGTCTTTTGATGTGTTTGTGTGTGTATGCGTGTGTGTTTGTCCGGTCCGGAAATTCATAACTCCTGTCCCACTGTAGCGGAAGCATTCAAATTTGAAAGAGAGAAGGGCGACAGGATGAAAACACTGACGGCATGTAATAGAAAGTGGGAAAAATCAATAGAAACTGATAAGAAGCCCTAAAGGGCAAAAGTCACAGGACCCAGAACTCCCTTTGTATTAACGATGAAGCCTTGGCACTCAGGCAGGTGGTGTAGGATGTGATGGAACCGTCAATGATTGGTGACAGGGAATGATAGCAAGTGATAGGGACCGATAAAAAACCGTTAAAAGCGAGAGCCATTAGACCTGTAACACACTTCCTGTTAATGATGGTATCTCAGAACTTTAATAAGTTATGTAACATGTGACAGGATTGTAGGTACTAGGTGACGGGGTCGAGAAGGGTTGCTGTCAGAACAGGAGCTGATAGAACTGATAAGGGCTAATGAAAATCCTCGGAAGCGTAGAGCTACTATAATAATGGCATCAATAGTGGAGCACAGACATCTCAGCATGTGATGTGGAGCACGGCGAGATAGATCGTAGACGACCGATGACAGGAACTGATGACAGCTGATAGTGACTTTAACTCCTGTGGTATTTACAATGTTTTTATGATTACGACTATTATATAGATTACGACCGCTACCCAGCAAGCTTTCTAACTCGCTGGAAGATCAAGGAAACTTCATGTTTTGATATCATTTACGACAAAGCTCATCCGACCGCCAATAATTTGGGATTCTCAACTGATGATGTACCCGTGGATTAAAGAAGATCCAGTGATAACGACATCTGACAATGGCGTTATTATCACTTGAGAACATTTTGAGTACTACTCAATTCTTTGGTTGCCTATCAGTTGAACCTTTAATGGTTCATAATTTTCAAGATGAAGAGCAACCGAGTGACTTTTTTAATAGTAGGCGTAAGCATCGGCACAGCCTAAATACCACTGGGGCTGCCCTGCTTATGCCAGCTCCCCTCTTTTTGGGTCCTGTGTCAAAGTTGTGTAGAGTGTGTCGAATTTTGTGTTCAGAATAGCATCATTCGTTCCAAAAGTAGAGGGGGGGGGGCTGCCGATTACCAGAACTCGAAGAAGGAGGAAAGCCGGGCGGTCCGACGTCTCTATATGTAAAGCGGTAATTTTGCGTGTCTGTTTGTATGCCCGTTCGTGTGTCCTTCCGAAAGTAACGTAGGTACTATGAAGAGTGTGAATGTCACATGAGCGCGGTAAAGAAACAGATATGAAATGGGAAGTCAACCGATACTACTCATATTGGTCCTCTAACAAGTCGTAGGTAAGCGGTAGTGGGCATGTGGTGCACACATTAGCGTGCGTACCCAACTGATTATTAATAGGTCATCCTTCTATCGATATGGAATTAATAGCCTCTTCTTAATGGACCTCTTTATCGCCTTATTACATTTATTTTACCAGTTCGCCAGGCTAACGCCGGGATTCCCTCCTTCTTTGCCAAGTTGTAGTAATCGTCTGACTTTCCACTAGTTCTTTGAATTAAATAATAGTTCCCTGTACAGGAACTCTGATACAGAACTAACAGAGCAGAGCAAATGGTATTCAGTGAAAGTGGGTACTTACGCTCTTGAATGAAAGTGTTGATCTTCTGCTAAGTTTCTCAAAAATAAATACCCATCAAAAATCCAACTGTTGTGCAACCAAAGCCATGGGGAGTATTCACAAATATTTCAAATGATGATAACGCCATTATCAGATTGTTGTGTATAGGAATGAACTGATATGAGTATCGTATCGTAAGCACCTACTCTATATAAGCCTAGGGTTTGTAGGGTTGGACTTCTACTTCTTCTTCATCTTCTTTTTGCTTACGACTATAATAAACTGGTCGTCTTACTGAAGTGTAAGGACACAACAACTGACGAGGAGCCCAAGAATGGATCAACCGCAGCTGATAGCACTCTTCAAGGACCTGCTCGCAGAACAGCGAAGGCAGCACACAGAACTGGTTCAAATGCTCTTGCACCGTGTGGAAGATGGAGCTAGTGACCGAGCCAGGACTGAAGAAGTTTCAACGCCGAACGTAGTGGCTGCATTGAGTTTGTGTTCGATGCCGACTTGGAGATGGGATTCTCCAGGTGGTACTCAAGGTACAAGGAAGTGTTCACAGAAGATGCGCGACAACATCCTGAAGCGGCACGGGTGAGAATTCTTCGTAAAAAACTCGGTAATGTTTCTTTTGAGAAGTACCAGCGACACGTTTTACCATAGAACGTGTCAGACATCGGCTTTCAAGAAACTGTCGACTATCTGAGCCACTTGTTCGACTCCAAATTATCCGAGTTCACAACCAAATGCCAATGTTTGAGGCTTGAGAAGAACGACAACGAAGATTACCTTGCCTATACAGGTAGAGTGAATGAATTTTGTGAGAAAGCAAGACTTCATGACTTAGATTCGGACGGTATCAAGTGCTTGCTCTGGATATTCGGTCTGAAGTCTCAGTCAGAAGCAGAAATTCGGCAACGGCTCATCGCAATACTCGACAGAGAGTATAAAGCAGGTGGGAAAATTTCTTTACATGAGTTGTACCACGAATGCGAGAATTTCTGAATCTCAAAATAGATTGTGAAACTATCGCCGGAGATGCCAAGGCCGTCAAAGCAACAGTGAAAGAAGATCAAAAGCTCATTGTCTGTTGGAACTGTTAAGGGAAGCACTACGCTGAGTGAATGTAAAAAGAAGTTGTGGTTCTGCAAAAAGTGTAAGACAAGTGGCCACAGAGAGAAATTCTGCGACGTTGCGTATCACAAGAAAACAGTTAAGCTTATCAGGACTTCAAGAAGGAGTCATCACCGCAACGACGAAAAGAAGCATTCGAACAAGATTCCAAGAGACATGTTCGGTGTCAAAAGATTTCAAATACGTCTGCAAATGTTGGCACTACAAGGATGTACGTCGAGGCAGTTGTGAACAACATTCAATTGATTTCCTGCTGGATACGGGATCAGACATGACGTTACCAAATGAAGATGTCGGGGAAAAAAATGGGATCCCCGAAGCTGGGAAAGACAAACATTACTGTGAAAAATGCCAGCGGTGATCGCATGAAGATCCAAGGAAAGCTAAAGTGTACAATCGAAATGAGAGGCAGCAAAAGTGTAGGATACGCCTACGTGGCACCGTATCACTCGTTAATGGGACTCGAGTGGATAAAAAACAACGAAGAGATGCAGCATCACTTGGAAATGATGGTTGCAGAGATTGAAACAAAACGAAGCTCCTACATGGAAAAGAGCTAAAGGATAAGTATCCTGACGTATTCAGAAAAGGTCTTGGACTCTGTACGAAAGAGAAAGCAGACCTTATATTCCTACCCAGTACTCGCCCCGTATTCCGTTGTAGTCGGCCCGTTGCCTACGCTGCCCTAGAATCCGTCGAAAACGAATTCAACAGACTTCAAGAAATGGGTGTTATCACCCCGGTGAGCCATAGCGAATGGGCTGCACCAATCGTATGTGTCGAAAAACCAAATGGAAAAATCAGAGTATGCGCTGACTTTTCGACTGCACTTAACAAAGCCCTACGGTCTTTCGATTATCCCCTCTCCACCCCCGAAGATGTTTTTGCATCCCTGAATGGAGGAACCGTTTTCTCCCAAATAGACCTCTCCGATGCCTACCTTCAGCTATCAGAAGAATCAACACGCACAAAGGATTGTTCCAGTACAATCGTCTGCCGTTTGGGATCAAAACAGCACCTGGAATTTTCCAGCAAATCATGAACAAAATGGTAGCAGGCCTGCATGGAGTTACAACATATTTAGATGATATCCTGGTATGTGGAACGACTGAAGAAGAACATAACAGGAATGTTCTATGGTTGTTCGAAAGGATCGCTGAGTATGGATTCAAAGTACGCATGGACAAATACTCTTTTGCAAAGTCCGAAATTCGCTATCCTGGGTTTATCGTCGACAAAAATGGTAGGAGGCCGAACCCTGAAAAAGTCAAAGCCATCAAGAATATGGCCGAACCGAAAGACGTCAAGCAGCTACGCGCATTCCTAGGAATGGTGACCTATTACTCAGCGTTCATGCCGTCCCTGAAAAGTTTACGTGGACCGTTAGACGCATTACTGAAAAAAGACGTAAAGTGGAAGTGGACGTCTATGCAACAAGATGCACTTGAGAACTTGAAATCAGCATTGTCCAGCGATCTAAATCTTGCCCACTACGACCCCAAGGAGAAGACCGTTATAGCCGCAGATGCATGCGAGTACGGAATTGGATGCGTGACCTGGCACAGATATGCAAACGGTACTGAGAAACCGTTAGCCCACGCTTCTCGTTCGCTTTCTGATGCGGAAAGGAAATATTCACAAATTGAGTAAGAAGCACTTGGATTGGTATTCGCGGTGAAGAATTTTCACAAGTACATTTTCGGAAGAAAGTTTCTACTACTAACAGACCACAAACCGCTGTTGGCGATATTCCATGACAAGAAAGGAATTTCAGTGTACTCCGCGAATCGATCAATGAGATGGGCAACTATCCTGTTGGGGTACGATTTTGACATTGAATATGTTAACACGACAAAGTTCGGTCAAGTCGACGGACTGTCAAGACTCATGCAAAAGTACCCCACTAAAGAAGAAGATATGGTGATAGCGTCAGTAGATAGCGATGTATCAGAGCAGCTGAGAAACTGCATTAGCAAGTTACCACTAACTCACCAAGATCTAAAGCTCTGCACAGAACAAGACCCACTGCTAAGAAGAATCAAGTCATTGATCAAGCATGGGAAATGACCAAAGAACGACCATAAGTTGTCTCCGTTCCAGGCAAAAAAAGGAGACTTTATCGTTCGTTCAAGGATTTCTTATGATCGGAGGAAGGGTCATTATTCCAACAAAGCTACGGAGCAGAGTTTCAAAGGAGCTACACCTTGGTCACCCCGGCATCGTAAGAATGCAGAAAATACCCCCGAAGCTATATATACTGGCCTAACATCGACAAGGATTGCGAAACCGTCGTACGGAACTGTTCCAGGTGTCAAGAAAACTCGAAAAACCCTATCAAAGCGAAGCTGGAACCTTGGCCAAGAGCTACGTATGCATGGCAAAGAATTAATGTGGACTTCGCCGGACAAATGGAGGGACGCTATTACCTGGTCGTGGTTGAGGCGTTCAGCAAGTGGCCGGAAGTGACGGAAATGACCATCATCTTTGCGACTCGAACAGTAAATGAACTCAAGAAATTGTTTGCAAGATACGGTTTACCGCAAACAATCGTGAGCGATGATGGAAGTCAACTTCAATCAGTGCTCTTCAAGAAGATGTGTGATGAGGGAGGAATTGGACACATAACGACAGCCCCTTACCATCCTCAATCAAATGGACAAGCAGAAAGGTTTCTCGATACGCTGAAACTAGGTATCGACGAACTCAGAGGGGAAGGAAGACCCTCCGAAGAGATGTTGAATACTATTCTGCAAGCCTATAGGACCACACCAAATAGCTGTTTAAAAGAGAAGACTCCGGCACAACTGTTTCTCGAAAGAAAAATTCGTACTCGACTAAGCTTGCTGATGCCAATGCCGGTAAGCACAGATGATCACTTCGCAGAACAAAGGCGAGGGTACATGAAACAGCAGTTTGACAGAAGACATGGTGCGATAAAAAGGAACTTTGCCATTGGAGGAGCCGTTTATGCTCGGCGATGGAAATCATCAAAATTCGTTTGGGAAAAAGGCACAATCATGAGGTGCCTCGGATCAATAAATTACGAAGTGGATATGAATGAAAAACTGGTTAACAAACACGTGAATCAACTCAAACGTCGTCATGTAGGCAAACCGACAAGTAGCGGAAGTTCGATGTTGAAAACGCCACTGGAGATATTTGATCTTCGCGACGATCAGCAGATACCTAAAGAGAAATCAACAGACCAGCCTGCGACTGTTGAGGCAGAGAAAATGGATATCCAGACAAGTGAAGATCGACGACGTACACCGAGTCCGAAACCACAACCACCGGTAAGATGATCACCACGAACGAGAAGACCTGTTGAGAGATATAGGATATGTCGTGTGTGGTTTGTTCTGTTAAGGATACAATGGCACCTACCTTGAATTGTAACCTAGTAGAAACAAAGCACTTCCCTACTGAGGAAGGTGTTGTGTATAAGCATGAACTGATATGAGTATCGTATCGTAAGCACCTACTCTATATAAGCCTAGGGTTTGCAGGGTTAGACTTCTACTTCTTCTTCATCTTCTTTTTGCTCACGACTACAATAAACCGGTCGTCTCACTGAAGTGTAAGGACACAACAGTCACTATCAATGGACCCTTCTCTTCACAGAGATACTATTAGTTGAGAATTTGAAATTACTGGCAGTCGGTTACGTTTTGTTGCAAATGATATCGAACAAAGAGGATTTTTCATCAAGTCACAAACTTTTCTAGGTATCGGTCGTAATCCAATAGCAGGAAATGCACAAAATTCTCTTCTGCCTATCGTGTTGCCGCTAATGGGCCCCTATCACTGCACTTATCACTCACTTTTGTCACCTTACTAAAGCATCTCGTCTCATCGAATGAAACATACTGAACTGTCAAAGCTACATTGTAAATACCGAAGACGTTAGGATTTTGATCAGTAGCGGCATCTCTTACAAGGGAAGGACAATAGGTCGCAGTGGCTATTCAAAATGAGATGTATACCGACGTAAGTTCTTCTGGACGGTGATTTCAAATCTGGGTTCCAAATCTGCGAAACGGTTCTGGGAAAAGAGTTATGGGCCCCCTCTCCCCCGGGTGACATGCCGCTTTTCTGCTTTTCTATGCGACCCAAGCAGCACCGTAGTGTGCACAGATGGCCGAGTTGGGAGGACGACGGACTGGTAGGCGCGACACGGAGGTTCGAATCCTTGATGCGTCTGCTTGTTTTGCTTTTTTATAAAAAGTGCCCTAAACGCTTGCAAAACATATTTACGTGTCATATAGGCTATCTTCAGCCCTCCTTCATATTAACGGAACACCAGCAATGCTTATACATAGGACGAATACGGGTGCAAAGTCCAGCAGGGAAGAGCTGCGAAAGCTTTGCTCAAAATATTATTGCAAAATTTTGAGCAAGAGATTTTGAGCAGTTTTGCAATAATATTTTGAGCAAGATTTGGAGAAACTCACGATCAAAACATTTTATCGACCAAAGTGCTCCCAACATATTATCAGCAATATGTTCTGCCCAAAAGTGGTCGTCTTCCATTTGTTGAAGGAACTTGGCTCCTGCGACATAACTCAAACACCATCCAGGAAGGAACAGAAGGTAATAGAAAGATCACACACACACACACACACACACACACACACACACACACACACACAC